ATGTTTATCTTGGAGTCAATAATGACTCCAAGATCCCTTTCTGCCTCTGTGCTCTCAAGAAGGGAGTTTCCCCATCTTATAAGTGTGCTGCTGGTTACTACTGCCCAAGTGCAGGACCCTGCACTTGTCAGTATTGAAACGCATCCTGTTTTTGTTAGCCCACCCCTGTAACCTATCCAGGTCTTGGTGCAGTCCTTTCCTCCCTACTGGCATGCTCACCTCACCCCAAATTTTGGTATCATCAGCTAATTTAAACAGGTTGCTTTTCACCCTGTCATCCAAATCGCTGATAAAGAAATTGAACAGCGCGGGCCCAAGGACTGAGCCCGGGGGACTCCACTGCCCACTTCCCCCCAGGTTGAATATGACCCGTCCACCACCACCCGATGAGTACGACCCTTCAGCCAATCTGCAATCCATCTGACTGTATAGGCATCAATGCCACAGTCACCCAGTTTTTTAATGAGGATGGGGTGGGATACGGTGTCACCCCATCCTCAACTGTATAGAACATTTAACACATTATTATTAAATAATAATACAAAATATTTTGGGGGGATTCATTTTTGTCTTGTATGTAGTAACATGTATTTAATAATATATAACATATAATCAAGAAGAAATGCCCTTAAAAAAACTTAACATTTCCTTACTTTTCTCATTAAGGCAATAGCAATTAATTCTGGAAGTATAAAGGTTTATTGTATAAGAGGTTAAGTATCATTTTGTCAGCTAAGGTTAAACATAAACCTGCAAATGAACTCAGTATAATCTCTCTATGGAGTAAGCGGTTGTCAAAGTAACTTGTTACAATTCCTGTCATCCCAAATGACAGACACAGATGCTTAGTCTGCCTTCACAATTCAGACTAATCCTATCTTTAGTCCTCAACCACTTTGTTTCTTTGTTGCTCAAATTTTGCCTTTTCTTTTCAAAGCTTAATTATGGAGGTGTTAAGAAGTAACCAGAGTGGGCACTTCTCTGCCAGTTTAACAAAGTATGAGCAAAAAGAAAAATAAAACTGCAATTTGTCAAAATAAAAGAAAAACCGAAATGAAAAGACAATGCAAAAAAAAAAAAAAAAATCAAATTTAGGACAGACAGTGTCCAACCCACTTCTGCTGAAGCAATATTTTACATTAAGTTCCTAAAAATCAAAGAAAATACATAAAATCATTAAGGCTAAGTATAGACAGTCAAAAAGCCTGAGGCTGAAATGATTCAATCTTTGCAGGTTAGTCTAAGCTACATAGAATAAATTGATAACCAAAGTGAACAGACATTTACTTTTGATTCCAGAATTGGAGCCACATGCCTTGAGTGGCCCAGTCCCCAGAAGCCAGGGGGCACTTCCCTGATTGGCTGTAACAGACAGCCTGGGCCAAGGATAGCCCACCTACCCTGCAAGGGGGAGGCAGGGAGTGTGGGGGAGAGGGTAGGGACGTGTTGCAGGGAAGGTGCAAAGCATCCTGAGATGCTGTGGGACTGTGAGTTAACTTGAAACTGGATGGGATTTGGGACAGAATTTCAATACACCGATTTAACCTAAATCATTTAAGTCTGATACTACATCCATCCAGATGTATCTTAAACCAGTTTTGGCCATTTTGAAAGCGGTTTACGTGCACTGAACTTTCGTTGTGTTAAAGATTAAAATCAGTTTCCAATCATTTATACTGGTTTCTGCGTAATTTCTGTCCCTAACCTAAATGAAATTCAAAACAGCTATGTGAGCAAGAATTCTAATAAATGTAGTTAACTGGCCTCAAGGATTATGCATGAGCAGAACCTGGTGATATACACAAGTGTTCGTACAAGCATATTATTTGTATTCACTTGTGCCTAAAGACCATAATTGTTGTGCAAGGCACTACGTGAACAAAGACTAAAATGTGTAGCATCTGTCTTGAAGAGTTGACAGTCCAACAAAAGGCAAGAGTAGCAAAAAAGCAAGCAGCACACAAGTTCAGAACTTGCAAAATGCAATGTCTTCCCTACCTTTCTGTTACTATAGCAGAAATACCTTTCTGCTATTTATTATCCACAGAAATCAATGGCTATTTTGAATCTGAAATTCTGGAGAGGTATGTGAAAGGTAACAATTTCAAATAATTTCAGAAATTGGAAATCTAGATGACTTAGGGCCATGTTGGCACTTTCTTTAGCAATGGTTGTCAACCTTTCAGACTCAGGGTACACTTTGGAAATGCCAGCTTAGTTTTCTGCATGAATGCTGTGTGCCCCCAGAGGCTAGGAGGGCATGGAAAGCTCCTGTAGGTGGCGACAGCACTGCTGATGGCAGCAAGCGGTGAGCTCCTACAGGCAGCCACGGCGGGGGAGGGGAGTGGCAAGTGCTGACCAGTGGTCGGCAACCACCTGCAGATGCCACCAGCAGCGGCAGCCAGTGGAGATTGGGGACTGCCTGCAGACACTGCCAGTGGTGTCAGCAGTGAGGGAGGGAGGTGGTGAGCAGCAACTGCCTGCAGGTGCCGCCAGCACTGTTGGCAGCGCCTTTTTGCAGGGGGTGCATGTGCACCCGTATGCATCCTCTACACATCGCCAATGGTTTTCGGTCTTTTTTTTTTTTTT